CCTCGGAAGGAAGGTTGAGCAATCTACTTCCGTAGTGATACCGCCTCGGAAACCCAAGGAGGGGTCACTATGAGTCGAGTCCAACTCCACAGCACATAACAACAACAACAAATGGGCTGAACATTTACATTAGGTAGATACACTCCTTGGAGAGATCAATCATGGGAAAACAGAAGGGCTGTGAAATGCACAAGAAGACAGCTCGGGGGCAAGAGTGCATGGGAGGGAAGGACAGGGAGGAGGTGGCTATGGGGAAGATGTGGGAGGATAGCTGTTCCATTGTGGGAGATTACAGTCAATGTCATGAGACAAAGTGTATGTGAAGATGAATTTGCCCTACACCCAAATCACAATAAAAATTTTTTTTAAGAAACTATCTGTCTTTAGGAGCTCTGGTAGCACAGTGGCTAAAGCACTTGACTGCTAACCAGAAGGCTGGCGGTTCAAACCCACCAGCCACTCCTCGGAAGGAAGGTTGGGCAATCCTACTTCCGTAGTGATACTGCCTCGGAAACCCAAGGAGGGGTCGCTATGAGTCGGAGCCGACTTGACGGCACACAACAACAACAACATCTGTCTTTAGGGAACTTAAATTCTAGGACAGTAGTTCTCAACCAGGGACAATTTTGCCCTCTCAAGACATATGGCAATATCTGCAGACATTTGAGTTCTCATACCTAGGGGAGTGGGGTACTGCTACTGGCATCTAGTGGGTAAAGGCCAGGGAAGCTGCTAAATGTCCTACAATCCACAACATCACAACAAAGATTTATCTGGCCCAAAATGTCAATAGTACCAACCTGTTCTAGACAAAAGATTGAAAAAAAAAAAAAGTGAAATATAATACCTACACCTGGATATTCAACTTATATCTAAGATTGTACAACTCTTAACAATAAAAATAATTCTTTATTCTCCTTCATATTCCCCGTGATACCAAATTCAGTACTTTGCCCAGAGGAGAAGCTCAATAAACGAAGAAATGGTAAGAAATAGTAAAAAATGAAATGGTAAGATAGTTCATTGTTCTCTATTACTACTTCATGCATGAAGTCTTCATACAAGATTCAAAGTGTTCAAACTAAAATTTTTCTCACCTTTGAAATCACATTCAGAAAGCATCAAATATACTACATCAGGATCCAGATCAGAAAACATCTCTGAAATACTGGTGAAGAGTTCATCCTGATCAACTTGGATCTCATACATGGAAGGAAGAGTAGTGGTTGGTTCCTCATGACTAGCAACACTGGACATGACAACTTCCTCAGAGTTCGCAGTCTTCTGAAATGGGCTTCCCCCAAGATTTTTCCTTCTCCTTGGCATTCTGACATCCAAAAACTAAAATGTTTCCCTTTTCCTTTTTAAGATGTTTAATACTTAAGTCATACCTCAAAGAAAACAGGGTTTTATATCTTGTACACTCCAGCGGTAATGGGACCTAAAATAGAAAGCAAGTAGAAACACTCAGACTATATATTTCCATTTCTAAAATAGGAATGATATCTTTATTTAACTCAGAATATACCATCAACTCTGACAGCAAGGACAAAAACAAACAAACAAAAAAAAACAGTTTTCTCAAAATTTTCAGGTTTTTGCCGGGATTGAACATGTCAAAAACTAAGATAGTAACAAAATTTAATATATTTTCAGAACAGTGAGTACACTGTTTTAATACCAATATTTCCTAAAATATATAAAACCATATTCATATATATAATTAGAATAACTACTGAGCACCTACCCTTGGATATCTAATTCACATTAGAAATTTTAGATCTCCAAACTGGGCTCCTGATCATCCCCCCTTCAAATTTGCTCGACCCAATCTTTCCCATCTTAGTTAAATGCAACTCTATCCTTCTAACTGCTCAGATAAAAAATCTTGGAATAATTCTTGACTCCTATCATCCCACATCCAATCAATAAGCCAATTTTGTCAGTGCAGCCTTCTAAAATGGACCCAGAATATGATCATTCCTCACCATCTCACTGCTATCACTTTTGAGAAAGCCACCCATACCTCCTGCTTGGATTACTATAATAGTCTCCTAATCAATCTCCCTGTCTTTAACCTATACCCCTTCAATCTATTTAAAACAGCAGCCAGAATTACTCAAACTACATGTAGAATTATGTCTCTTCTGTTAAACTACCCACTAGTTTCCCATGTCATCCACAGTAAATGTCACCACCCTTAAAATGGTCTACAACCCAGATGCCTAGTACTGCTGTACTATCTGCTGCTGCTATCTCCCCTTCACTTATTTCACAAGATATACTCAACCACCTTGCTCTTTTTCAAAGACACGAGCCATGCTCCCACCTGGAGACTTTACAATTTGGTTTCCCTCTCCCTGAACTACTTTTTCCCATGTATCTCTAAGATTTATCCCAAACCAAAAAAAAACAAACCCACTGCTGTCGAGTCATATCTGACTCATAACAACCCCTCCTTGGGTTTCCAAGGCAGTATCACTACAGATGCAGATTGCCCAACCTTCCTTCCCAGGAGTGGCTCATGGGTTTGAACCGCCAGCCTTCTGGTTAGCAGTCAAATGCCTCAGGCACTATGCTACCAGAGCTCCAAGATTTATCCCATCACTACCTTACTGTCATTACTCAAATGCTACCTTCTCAGGAACTCAACTCTCCAACCACTCACACCCTCTTCCCTACTTAATTTCACTACATACCATTTATCACCTTCTAGTCGGGGCCGACTCGACGGCACATGACAACAACAACAAAATATATTATGTGTTAATTATTTATTTTATTTATTACCCATATGCCTAGAAAACGTAAGAAACACAAGCAAGGACCATATCTGAAGAACTCCAAACAAGCCGTTTGCTTTCTATACTTAAATGGATCTAGTAACATTTCAACTTTAACAAGCCCAAAACTCAGGGCTTAATCTTTCCCCAAAAATCTGCTCTAATCATTACTGCTATTGTATTATGGAGCTCTAGTGGCACAGTGAGGAGCTCTGGTAGCATAGTGGCTAAGACACTTGACTGCTAACCAGAAAGCTGGCGGTTCAAACCCACCAGCCACTCCTCGGAAGGAAGATGGGGCAATCTACTTCCGTAGTAATACTGCCTTGAAAACCCAAGGAGGGGTCTCTATGAGTCGGGTCCGACTCGACTGCAATAACAACAACAACAGTGGCACAGTGATTAATGCACTCAGCTGCTAACTAAAAGGGTCAATAGTTCGAACCGACCCTGCTCTGTGGGAAAAAGATATGATGGTCTGAGTTCTGTAAAAAGTACAGCCTTGGAAACCCTACAGTTTCCAAGGGCAGTTCTGCTTTGTCCCATAGGGTCACTATGAGTCAGAGTTGATTAAATGGCGATGGGTTGGTTTTTGGTTTAATCAGCTTTTGAGGAGCCTGAGTGCTGCAAGTAGCTTACAATCAGTTGCTCACGTACAAGTTGGTGGCTTCAGAGAAGAAAGCCCTGGTGAAGTGGTTTTTGCAAAGATTATAGCCAAGAAAACCTCATGGAGTAGTTTATACCACATAATGTCACCATGACTCAGGAACAAACTCAATGATAGCTAAAAACAACAGCAACAATTGAAATGTTGGGGAATAATAATGTGTTTTAAATTTTGGTGTCTACATGTTCATTGCTAGTATAAATAAACAGTTCATATTTTTATTTTGTATCCTCCAACCTTGCTGAACTCACGTACTAGTTTTAGGAGATTTTATAGATTCCTTTTATAGTAGGGATTGTGATGCTGGCAAGGGACCGGGCAGTGTTTCATTCTGCTGTACATAAAGTTGCAAAGAGTTGGAGACAACTCGACGGCACATAACAACAACAACATAGATTCCTTCAAATTTTCTATGTGGACAACCATGTTATCTGAAAATAGGGACAGTTTTATCTCTTCCTTTCTAATCTATATGTATTTTATTTCCTTTTCTTGACTTGCTACACAGGCTACAATTCCCAACGCTATGTTATATTAGTTGTAAGAGCAGACATTCTTCTCCTTTCTAATATTAAGGGGAAATTATTGAGTATTTCACCATTAAGCATATATTAGCTGTAGGTTTTTTAATAGATGCTGCAGTAGTTATGTTTGTGTGTCAACTTGGCTGGATCTGGTTGAGTGGCTGGGCAGCTGAATGTAGTTATTCCCCAAGGTGAGACTGGTAATTAACTTCATGGTGGAATCTATTGGAGCAGCTAAGTAACTGCTTTGGTTATGTGGTCTACTTCCCATATATAAGAAACAACTTTGAGAATGGTCTCTAGCTTATGGCACACTTGAACACTGCATGCAGCCGTGTCATTGTTCAGTACCCTGCCATGCTCTGAAGACCTTGGGACTTAAAATGGACTTGAATTAATGGCCTGCTGTGTAGGTTTGGTAACATCGGGACTGTGCCATTTTATTTGTCAACCTTGGATTTGTTAGCCTCAGAAGCAGCAACTAGCTCCCTGAGTGAAGAGATGCCTCTAGCTTCAGTGGGCCAGGAACAAGAGGAAGAGCTAAAAAAAGCCCAAGGTCGAGGGGTTTTCACCTACCCCCTAGAGCCTGGCACTTTGAACTTGGACTTAAAGCCTCCAAGCTATGAGAGATAAATTTCTGTTTGTTAAGGCCATCCCACTTGTGGTATATTCCTGCTAGAGTGGGACAAGGTAACCAAAACAAAATATGGTACCAAGAGAGTGGGGTGCTGCTCTGACAGATGCCTAAAATGTGGAAACAGGAGTAGAGTACGTCTTTCACCTGAGACCCTGGTAGAGAGACCCCAGCATAAGACATGAGAGACAGCAGGAGGAGAGCCAAGAGACCAGCATGAGAGACAGCAGGAGCAAAGCCTAGAAATCAGCATTGAACAGTAACAGCCTTACCAGCCCACAGATGAGAAAGCCAGGTGCTACTGGGTAGGTGGCTTCCTGGCAGAGTGGGTTACATTTGGGCATTAATTGGTAGAAGAGACCGGCTTGAAATGCAGTAGCAGGTTGGCCAGCCCACGGTGCAAGAAAGCTAAGTGTCAACAAGATCTGTACCTCACACCATACACAAAAACGAACTCCAGATGGATCAAAGACTTAAATGTGAAACCTAAAACTATACAGTTCCTCAAGGAA